TTTTTTTTAAAGAGCCTGCCTATATGTCATAGTTCCACATCGTACGATTACTTCGTACATCGTGTCATTAGGCTATTATTCATGTTTTTATTTGCTTCATAAGTTGCTCACTTCATCTTTAAGGGTTCGAGATATAGAAGTGGCTTTTCGTCGAAGAAATGTGGGTGGTGTTGACGATATTCTGGGACATCCATTCATGTCGTTCTTCTTAAATCTGGTAAGTGTTCTTTCTGGAAAAGCGCTATACCTTACCTCGGTACTTCTTTAATTCTAGCTTGAATCAAAAGTTGTCGACGATATTTGCGTTTTTTATCCGCTCCCAGTCGGCATTGAACGATCCATAGTGCTTCGCATCTTGAATGGAAAAACTTCTGAATTCGCCAACATGAGCGCGACAGATCTTCTTGCGTTAGAATCAATGAACGATGTAATTTCTCTATCTGTAATCTTTTTTTTTTCCTTTTGAAAAATATCTTCAAGACTGACCTTACTTTCACCGAAGCGGAGCAGTTCTACACGAAACAGGCGGCACGTTGGCCGGAACATCTTGACATGGTGACTATTCCAGCCATCCTTCCATTCCCGGATCCCAAGAATGATAAATTGCAAGAGTACGTTTATTCCTTTCGCTTTGCATAGCCATTGTCTTATGTAGAGTTAGCCTCCTCACGATGTACTTCTTCCTACATTCTTCTTTTAAAGTCCAAGCCAGGATGCTTTGCTCATGTCTTTGATGCAACGCATATCATGTGAGCCTTTGAAGCAGCTGCCGTTCAAGACTACACCGCTCATGCCGCCATTATATCCCATTCAACCCATAGAGGTATTTTAATTTTTGTCTTTATTTAGGCTTACGCTCCCACCTATAATCGTGATTATGTTAATCTGTTTGCATGGTCTCCTTTTATTTATCTATCAAACGCCCACATTTGCTGTTGTATCCTTAAAACTTGGTCTGAACGCGAAGACACTTATTGAACAGATAACGAGACTAGATCCTGAGTGATTGAAAATTGCTATCTCTTCCGCTATATTTAAAAGTTTTTAGCTCGGATGCGACGATATAGAGGAGTTGCGAAATCGGGTCGCTGATGTTAAACCCGCTGCACCTGGACCTTCAAAGGAAAAAACGTCTTTACATCTCGGTGCGCATCTATAAGCAACAGTTTTATATTATTATTAACCAGTTCATCCTATGTGTTTATTCACATTCAATTTTAGTAATTAGCCTTATGTCTATTTTTCTACTTTTTTTGAGGTTTACGTTTTTTTTACAGATAAGCCTCCTACTCCAACAATAGCAAATGCAGCTCCTATTCAGGAGCTGACCGAAGAACAAATGGCAGAATTTACGAGAAGGCTGTTGGATGGAAAATCGCTGACGTAAGCATATTTTTGTTCGTATTCATTTTAAAAGGGTTGTGTGTGTGTTTTTTTT